ACTATTACTCTGGAGGCTGAGGCCCTTTAACACACTATCTTATATTTTCACCAAACAAGAATAAAACTTGACTGATAAATGATGGAGGAATAGATCATGGTTAAAGTATGCGTATCTGGTCTGTCTAGAAAAATTGAAGAATTGCATAGCAGAACAGACTTCGCTAATTGTTTACTTCAGTTAGGTAATCAACACAGTTCCTGTTGTAGGGTTCTATATATTGATTCCATGACTGATCAGTCCTAAAATTACTTCATAATTGATATAGATTTGCATACTATACTTCTTACACTTCCAAAGTCCTTCAGTTGTAATAGATTATGCGTACTTAAAACTATTGCCCTGAAGCAACAATGCAGTTCTATCCAGTTTTTGACTGTCTTTTCAGATTACATCAGATATGACCATGTGCATATTAGAAGCCCGAAGGAAGGGCATGATGTCAAAATAACACGCACAACATTTGTGAGGTATGTGGGTTTTTGTATTATGCTGAAACTTTCACCCAGGCTACATTTGTCTTTAATACAGTTGTTAAACATAAACAAACTACAGTAACTTGAAAATGAAAGGGTCTAAAGCTAAAGTAGATAAAATATTAAAAGAATCAATTTCTAAAGTTCTCATTTGTCTTGAAGTATAATAGGCTGGGTGAACTGTTGGTTGGGGATGTTTTTGTATGTTTTTGTTTATGATGATTTGTTTGATTTTTTTTATGCTGCTAAAGCCTGGCTCCGGCTGAAAGATCTTTATGGATTACTTCTCATTTTTGAGTCAACATGTTCGTTTACAAGCCCTTTGAGTTTTACTGACTTTTGCTACTTTAATTTGTGTGCAACAAGTTCCAAAAGCTGTTGCATCTCTAAGTCATTATGATGGGTAAACTTCCTGACATAACACATTATGTTGTTATCCTGTTGGCGTCCTATAGAGTTTGTTTTGCCTTCCGTTCTTTGGGTCATGTTGAGTTTCAACCCCCAAGTCTGAAAGCTTTGCTCCCTGCAAATTACATGTTACTTCCTTGTAATATATTCCGTTGTAAAGGTGCTTAAAAGGTGTATTTTCTTAAGTAATCCTTGTATAGTCTTCTTGCTTTCCAGGGAAGTCATTTTTGTTTTCTTAATTAACATAAATTCCAGTTATTGGTCATATAGTGTATTTAAAACTTCATATTACAGCTACAAAAGAGAGCTAAAAGCTTGATCCTGAGAAGCAATTCAGAATCCTAGTGATGCTAGTGGGCATATGTGTACGGGGCTGCAGTATTAACTGTACAAAATTAAAAACATTTGTTTTTAATCTGGTTGCTCAAAGGTTAAGTCATTTGGAATTGTCACTGAATATTAAACACTAGAAAGAAATACACCTTTCCTAACCAGGTTCATTTAACCGTGAATTATATGGGAGAAATAAAGTTTGTTTTCCCAAGACATTTTCTAGAATGCAGCTATCTTTACTGTCATTTGTAACTAGGCACATTTTTAATGTATTGCATTCAAATGAGAGAGGACTTTTGTATAAAAGAGAATTTACTTGACCAATAGCTTCATGATTTACTGTTGCTATGATTTAAGAACATTTACTTTAATGGAATAAATTTAATTTAGCTAATCCAAATCATAGTTACAATATGTTAATAGTGTCTGTCCTGGGAAGGAGTGGGTCTTTGATTTAGCAATCTGACACTAGAGTCAGAGGGAGGGAGTAGATGGAACATTTTTAATTAGGATAGCTAAGAATTAGCAATAAAGTCTAGAAAAATGCTGAAAAATTTATGTAACTTTGTCTGACAGCTACCACAAGTGTGAGTCCCTCAGAAATTAATTGGTAAATGTAGGCATTGTAGATTATAATTTTGAATTAACAAAGCAGTAAATATACTCAAGGTTTTGAGGTATGACCTAAAGTACCGTAAATCCCAGTGGTCATATGGAGGCTACCATTAGCGCAGAAAAAATACTGGAGACATCTGCTCAGCTGTCACCAATCAATATAATGCTTTCAAGTTTCTCTCAGATATGGCCTTTACTAGTACAGAATCAATAGCAATTTTAGGACTGAGTGTACTTCTAGAATTGCATACTATTCTTGGAACTTTGTGTTCAGACTGTAATCTGTCTCCTGTTTGTTGATAAAACTTTAATTCTACCATTCCACACTGCTAGTTATAGGTGGCTGGAAAAAATTCTGTTTTACAAGAACTTTCACGTTTTTGAACTTTGTTTTCATTCTTAATTAGCATGAAAACAAAACCTTTGGAAGGTTTTCACAAAACAGAGCTGTATCAAAACACCCCTTTTCAGATTGAAACGGTCAGGTTTTTGATATTTCTCTCCAGAAAGTCCACACTGGACCTGAGAAACCATCCTGTCAAATTTCGTCGGCAATATGACAACTCAGCAGGTTGTTGCTGTAGCTTGTTAGTTCATTGGAGACAACAGCTGTATTTAATGGGGGACTTTGCCATACTGGTCAGAATTGAAAAGCAGGAGGCCCCATTTTAAGGCAAGGAGAAGAATGATGTTTGGCAAGTCAACAAGACAAAAATATAGCCCGTATAAAAACCTCATATTTACCATTAAGGCTGTGATGCAACCAACAACTCTGAGGAAACGAAAGTTGGTTTGTCATCCATTTTTGCTTCATGGTGTGAAAATATTCTAGTCTACTAAGTACTGTTTTGAAAGACAAAAACAGGGAATGTGAATAGCAGGGAGAACATCTGTCTGCAAGATTAAATTGCTACTTAGAAAATTGCTGAGCATAATTCCTTAGAGGGGTTTTATTTGCCTATAGCTGTTTGTGTGACTTAGCAGGAAGGCCAAGGGCTGCTCACCTTACTGTGTGAACTGATCTGAATTACTGCTGCATGGCTTATAGCAATTTTTTCTTGGAAACATATACTGTCTAAAACGAAATCATCCCCTCCCCTGTTTTTTTCTTTTTACTAACACAGCTGCTAAAAGATTTTTACACCATAGAGTCATACCTGTTAGTGCAGCATTGCGCCTTTAGTTATACCAGTGCCATGTGCATGTAGACAAGCTCCAAGTCTGAATCTGTTCCTGTGTCGACAATGATGCCTCAAGTATTGTCATCAGATGAAAACATTTCAGTCCTTCACGTTCTGGAGTAGCCCACACTCCCTACGTAAATGATTTACCAATACAGACTTAATCATTAACCTCTTTAAACTAAGAGCCCCTCCAAGGCACAAGCTAGAGGACCTGAAATAGCTTACCTGAACTAGGAAAAGGCAGAAAATGGTTTGAGGAGGCTTTACAGGTCACTTCAATTCATTTTATTTCCCCTGGAATAACATTAAGTTTACATGGAATTTCAATACTGCAGTCTCCTCTCCTGTTTCAGAAACTTGGTGTATTTCAAGGCATCAAGAAGGAAGCAATAAACACACTGTTTTATTTGACTGTTTATGGTAAATGATTTTTCATTCTTAATGCTAACATTTCATAAGACATCAGGATATAAATGAGTATTAGGATTTGTTGTAGAATGTCACAATTTTAACTTTCTGGAATTGTGTAGATATGCGCTTTATTTTATTTAATTCTGTGAACAAGCAATGAAAACCTATTGGGTTCTAAGGTGTTTGGCCTTTTCTGCAGGGTCTGCAGTCACTTCGTTATGACTAAAGAAAGTACTTGAAATGGTTTGCAGCTATGACTTTAAGTAC